TCACTAAAGTCCCTTGAAGCTCTCAGTAGATCCTTGAGCATCCTTATAATCATTGTTTTGAACTCTATATCTAGTAGTTAGTTTGCTTCCATTTCATTTAGTTCTTTTTCTGGAGATTTCTTCTGTACTTTCATTTGTGACATACTTCTTTGTGTCCACATTTTGGCTGCTTTCCTGTGTTTGTTTCTATATATTAGATAGAGCTGCTTTGTCTCCTGGAATTTGTAGTGGCCTTATGTAGTAGGTGTCCTGTAAGGTCCAGTGGCTCACCTCCCCAGTCACCTGAGCTGGGCACTCAAGGTGCACCCAGTGTAGGCTGTGTGCAAAGTCTTGTTGTGATTGAGCCTTGATTGTTGTTGGTGTCACTGGGAGAAATTGACCTTCAGGTCAATTGGCTGTAAGGACTAGCTGCAGCTACAATGGAAGAGCTGCTGTGCAAGAGACACCCCTATGGAGCAGGACTTGCTTCAGTGGGGCTTTGGCGCTCACTGAATCTGCTACTTGAGTATGTCACTTGTAGATGTGTAGAGTTGTCATCTGGTATAGTCTGAAGCTGACCACTGGGTACACTGGCTCTGAGGTCTCCTGAAAGGTGCAAAGTCAGCCACTGCCTGAGATGACCTGGGAGGAGATACAGAGCAATCTGGAGATGGTGGCTACTTGTGCTGGACTTGGAAGTGCCTAGGCCACACCAAGCTGTGAAGCAAGGCAGGCTACTGCTAGTACCTAGTTTGGGGCCTCTTATTGATAGGTATAGAGCATTTTGATGCCAGCTGATGCTTATTTGAGAGATTTTACAAAAACCTGAAGCCTGAACCAGGACAGGCCAGTCATACAGAAAAACTGCTACAAACAGCTTGGGTGGGGCTGCAAATTGGATGGGGCAGGGTCTCAGGGAATCAGCACTGTGGAGCGAACAGTGTAAGCCTGGCTGATGGAATCTCCTATTTGGCTGCCAGTCAGCTCTGTGATAGAGGAGGTCTCAGCATAGGAAGAATGACCCCTGCGAGCACCCTGTCTGGGAGAAAGCCACCCCTGAGTACTTGCTCCAATGCCAGACAATCCAGTTCCTCCCCATATGTCCCTGGATTCCTGCATGCCGCTGCCCCAGTGCTGGAGCTCAGAGGAAGAAGGTCCTATGTGTTCTATCTGCCTTTGTTTTAAACCCATAAGATAATGTTTAATTAGTCATATGTATTTTAAAGAAATTAAGAGAAAAATAATTTTATAATATTTCTAATTATGATTTCCAGTGCTCTCCATTCTTTTCTGAAGAATTGCATTTCTCTCTGGTGTTATTTCCTTTTAGCTGGGAAAACTTGCTTTAGCATTTCCTGTAATGCAGGTCTGCTGGCAGCAAGTGGTTTTCTTTTATCTGAAAAGTCTTTAGCCTTCATTCTGAGTTGACAACTTCACCTGAGCTGTAATGGACAATTATGGTGGCTCCAAATGGATTTTGTTTGTTTGTTTGTTTGTTTAAATATATTTTTATTGATTTCTGGGAGGAAGAGATAGAAACATCAATAATAGAATCATTGATGTTTCTATCTCTCCCTCTCTTCTCTGAAATCAATAAAAATATTTTTTAAAAATAATAAAACAAGTAAAAAAATAAATTAAAAAAATCCACCCAGCCATGTAAGGGAGGAAGTTTGTGTCCAACTGCATTTCCTCAGCATGACTGTATGCAATACCACTGTTGTTGAACAATGGCTTTTTAATTATTTTCATACTTCTTTATATTCATCTAGTATCACCAAGGCAATTGTTAATTGCCAAGCACCATACTAGGCTCTGGGAACAGGTTGGTGTACATTTTAATAGAAGGAGGAACAAAATAAGTACATACATATTTAAACAAATGAGAATTTCAGGTGGTCAGAAATATGAATAAAATAGATCAGAGTAAGGGGATAGAAGTGACCAGGGTAAAGTGGTGCAGCCACTGCTTTAGATGAGGTGGTTAGGGAAGGCCTTTGGGAAGGAGCCAGCCTTGCTGAGGGAAGGGCATCCTATGCAGAGGAAAGGGCAAGAATAGTAGCCCAGAGAATAACATGGGAAGTCCTTGGAGGGTCATCAGCAGGAAGAGACATGGTTATAATTGCTAACAACACTGAGCCCTCCCTCTGTGCCCGCACTCTGAACATTATACATCCCTTACTCCATTTAATCCTCCCCGTAACCTTATTACCTCCATGATATCAGAAAGCGGTGGCTGTGGCACTTTATCCAAGATCAGGCCAGTCATAAAAGGAGCCAGGATCACACCCAGACAGCCTGGACTCCAGAACATACCTACATAACCACATCTAGAACCACCTCCAGGAAGCAGAGACTGAGCTCATCTCATTTTTTTCCAGGTGTACAAAAGAGCCAAGGCACTGGACCAGTCTGACAACGACATGTCTGCCGTGTACCGGGCCTACATACACTAAGCCCCTACTCCCTCCCTCCCTCTGACCCCCTCTTCCTCACATGGGGTTGGGGTCCTGGGACTTCACTCTGGACCAGTCCACCTGTCTCCATCTCCTTTTATACAGACTTTGAGACTTGCCATCAGCACAGCACTACTCCTCCCCTGAAAGTCCTGGGAACCGGGGAGGTGTCAGCAGGATTGGCCTGTAGCAAAGCTCTTGAGCTGGGCACTGGCCCCTGAACCAGGTGGCTGTGTGTTCACACATACACACACACACACACACATACACACATATACACCCACACTGGCTCTTACTCCAGGATAGAAGCTGCCCGGAAACTGCTGCCTGGCTTTTTTCCCCTTCTTCCACGCTTGTCTTATCTCATACCCCTTCCAGTCGAGGAACTAGAATCAGCAATGAGAATTGGAAGCCTTCCTGCTTCCCTCAGAGCGAAGAGGCTGTGGTCACATTCACATTCCCAACTGGATCCCTTGCAGAGAGAGGCTCTGGGCCAAGATGAACTAGTACAGACTAAACGGAGGATCCTGTGGACCCTCCCAACCTCAGGTGACCAGCTGATGGGGATTGTCGTGTTTAAGCTGCCATCGTGCAACCAACTCTCCAGAAATGCCTTTGTGAACTGAAAAGAGATTGGCAAAGTCAAGTGAAGACAAGGCTCTGGCTTTCCAGGGAGAGCAGCAGTCAGCCTGTAGGTTGAGTCTCATGGAAGCCTATCTCCTCACTGCTCTTCAGCACCCATCCTAGAAGTCGCCATCACTACGGAGTCCTGGGCTAGGATCAGACTTCTTGCTTTGGTGTAGGGGGCTCTCACTCCTCAACATGCTGTTTTAGTATTTAGATTTGCATTCCAGCCCTTGGGAAGGGGATCCTGAGGGCCACCAGTGAAGAGTGAGGTGGGGTGGGCTTTCCGTTTCCCCTATGCCACAGACTTCATATGGTCCTGAAGAGCCAGTCTGACCCAGGTGCCCTCACAGCGGTCCCACTTTCTCCAGCCTGCCCCTGTGCAAGTCCTCTGCATGCCCACCTCTCTCCATTCTCCTCCCTCTCCCCTTTTCCTCCCATGGAAACAGAATTTCTTCCTCTCTCTGTCCCTTTGGCCCCGACCCAGCCTGACAAACGATGACCATTTCTTAGGTTCAGCTCTTGAACAGAAAGTGTCTTCACTTCAGCCAGCAACTTGGTGGTCTTCGGTACTTCCAGGGTCCTGAGGTCTGTCGGGAGGGAAAAGGAGAACTGGGCTTGATTGAACCTGAACTAGCTGACCCTCAGAGGTGGATCCAAGACATCCTTGAGGACTTAGTATATCTCCTTGGATAGGGGACCAGAGGGTGTTGGAATGTGGCAAAAGAACAAGGAGAAGTCATCTGAAGGTTGTCAATGTCTCCCTCTGCATGGGTTTGATTTTTCAAAGTCACACTTTGCAGAAGGTCAGCATTTATAGTGAATATATAATTATATATAAAAAATGAGGTGGCCACACTGGTGTGGGTCCCTTCCCCTCACAACCTTGGCTCTTTTCCACTGATCAGAACCCAAGTTATGGGATCTCAGAAGACAGGAGAGGGCAGGGAAGATGCCTGTGGGTTTTGACACAGTTGATTTCACTGGGATTTTGAATTATTTTCTCTCTGAACACAAAGCCTGTTATAGTCCTAGCTGGACACTGGGGGGTGGGGGGGCGGTTTGGGAGTAGGGGAAGATGCTGTAATGAAACTGTTAGTCAATGTTGTCTTAATATTGTTGACAATTCTGTAAAGTTCCTTTTTATGAATATTTCTGTTTAAGCTATTTCACCTTTGTTTTGAAATCCTTCCCTTTTAAGGAAAAAATGTGACACTTGTGGAAAAGCTTGTAAGAAAGCCCCTCCTCCGTCCCCCTCCTTTTTTTCTTTAAATGACAAATCTGGTAATTAAGGTTGTGAATTTTTATTTTTGCTTTGTTTTTCATGAACATGTTTTTCAGAATAGGATTGTGTGATAATGTTTAAATGGCAAAAACAAATGATTTTGTGCAATTAACAAAAGGCTACTGCAAGCAGAATAAAACGTTTCTTGGTAACCCAACTGGGACTGATTACCTCGCCTGCGCCTAACACTGTACCGCCCAGCCGTAGAGGGAGGAGGGCGGAGGCTAAGCCCTGGGCTTTTTCCTTAACCTGGACCCATGAACTAGGGTGGAAGGCCAGGCAGCTGGAGCCGACTGCCCCATCGGCCAATCGCCAGGCGCGGCGATAGCCAGCCATTCCGCTGGCCAATAGAGCGCAAGTGGGTAAGGGCATCCTATCAGAGCCCGGGAGAGGCGGGACGAGAGCGCTCCAGCCGAAGAGCTGGCTTGGATGCGGCGCCCGCGGCTTGCGCCGGCGGCGTCTCGGGCGAGCCGGAGCGGGCGGGTTCTTACTGCCGCCAGCCTAGTTCCATTCCGCCCTGTCGCGAGCCGGGGGCGGGGCGGGCGTCCTCTCGGCCAATCGGCGGAATGGGGCGGTGGTTCGGGGGCGGACTGGTTCCCACTTAGCCAATCGGCGGCGGGGGCTGGGCCCGGCCGCTGAGTACTGACCGAGCGGCGGCGGGCGCAGACCGCTGACCGGAGACAGTAGCTTCACAGAGAGCAGTGGCGATGGCGACCGCGATGGCACCGACGGCGGTGGAGCGGGCGGTGCTGGTGAGGCGCACGGGCGGTTGGGCGGGGCGGGGTGGGGGCGGCGGGCCCGGGCGGCTGACCGCGGCCTGTCCCGCCAGGAGGAGGAATTCCGCTGGCTGCTGCACGACGAAGTGCACGCCGTGCTGAGGCAGCTACAGGACATCCTAAAGGTAATGTCTCGCGGGCGGCCGTGGGCCTTTGCGTGCGTCCATCCTCCGCTGGCCGGCCGCGCCTGCCTCCCTAGCGCCTACGGGGTACGCGGAGCGCAGTGTTCTGACGGGGCTTTGTCGTCGGTGGACTTGGGAGCCCAGTCGGGGGCGCCAGCAGATAATCACCCCGTTCCACCAGCAGCTGTGTGAGTGCTGTGGGTCTGGGAGAGCCTCGGGGTCCGGACGGGGTAGGCCTTCTTTGAAGCGGTGACATTTAATCTGAGATCAAGGACCCCAACATTGTGACACTAGCTAAATACTCAATCTCCCTGGGCCTCCCTGTCGTCATTTGCAAAAAGGAAGTAACAGTACCTGCCTCAAGGTTGACCTGAAGATAAGCGGTCAACTCACAAATGTTCAGGCATTGCCTGGTATGGTCAGAATTGCGGGTTGCCATGACTACCGGGGTTCCCCGACCCTCTACCTCACACCCGAGCACCTTAACCAAGCTGGGAGAGTATTCCTGTTTTATATCCCCATGTTGGGCACAGGCGCCCAGGGAACGTGGAAGGAGCGGGTATTGGCTTGGGTAGGACCTGAAACTCGGGCCCTGGGGGAGGAGCCAGAGCCGTGGGAAGGTGCCCTGGGGGCTTGGGTAGGACGTCCCGTTCTGTGAGGCCAACCCATCTTGTTCCTCCCCTCGCCCACCTGGGAGTGGGACTTCTGGGCTGGACTGGGTCAACTTTGCCCCACTCCCCTTTGCCCCCCAGGAGGCCTCTCTCCGCTTCACTCTGCCAGGCTCAGGCATGGAGGGGCCTGCCAAGCAAGAGAACTTCATTCTGGGCAGCAGTGGGTAAGCCCTGGCTTGGTGGAAACCCCTGGGATGGGCTCCTTAGGGGGGTGAGAACACCTGGGTTGGAACATCCTATGACAGAGCCACAAGGGCCCAATGGGAAGGCTGGGTAGTGGGAGGGATCGGCTGCAGGTTCTGCTCTGACCCCCATGTGTTGCAGCACAGACCAGGTGAAGGGCGTGCTGACTCTGCAAGGGGACGCGCTGAGCCAGGCGGTGAGTCCCTGGTCCCTCTCCCTTTCTGTGGAGAAGCCAGTGGGGAAGAGCATGGGGGCCTCCTGCTCATCTCAGTTCTGCCACTGGCTGGCTGTGTGACGCAAGGCAGAATCCTTGACCATCCTGGGCCTCAGTTTCTTCATCTGTAAATGACAACAACCCCCAATGTCCTCAAGAGATTAGTGAGAGGTTTCATTGAGCACAGGAGAGGGATGCTCTGCACATGGCCCAGCCCAGAGTCTGGGCCTGGTGAAACGTGGGCATTGGCAGGATTAGGCTGGCCCCAGATCAAAGTGGAATCACCAGCATCTGAGCTCCATCTGCACCCGGCCCTGTGCCAGGTGCCAAGGTATGGGAGAAGGTCCTCGTCCTTCATGAGTGGGTATTCAGTCCATGAGCCTGTGCAGATGTTCCCCGTCTGCCCTCCATCACATGCCTCCTCCCAGCTGAGGCCACCTTCCCCTTTCTTGGCTTCTTTTCCCTTTCATATCTTTGTGGTTCCTCTTGGGCCTGAGTTCCTGTTTCCTGACCGCATGTTCACCCCCCAAATGGCCATGGTATTGGGAGTCCTCCCCCCTCCCCTGCTTAGGACAGGCTGAGGCCTGAACCACCACTGTTTCCACCCTTGGCTCAAAGGCTCAGAATGGCCAAAAGCAGAAGGGCATCCCTCTGCCCAGCTTACCCCACTCTCACCCATCAGGATGTGAACCTGAAGATGCCCCGGAACAACCAGCTGCTGCATTTTGCCTTCCGGGAGGACAAGCAGTGGAAGCTGCAGCAGGTAACCAGGCCTTTCCTCAGCCAGGGCTCAGGCCACAGGACAGGCAGGGGCAGGCCTGCACAGTGGTGCTAAGGCCTCCAGGGACAGGACACTGGGGATTTTCTGCCACAGCAAGCCTGATAGGGTGTTTCCTAGCAGGGAAGCTGGGGTGGGAGGAGCCTGGGCTCCAGAATCTAGCCTTGTGGGAGGTGGAAAACCTGTCTGTATGTCCCCAGGCCTCAGCCAGAGCCACAGGGCTCCCCCTTGAACAAGTCATTCCCTGCCCAAAGTTTCCAGGGGATTCCCATGGCTCTCTTCTTTTTTAAAAAATTTTTGATTGATTTCTGAGAGGAAGAGAGATGGGGAGAGAGATAGAAACATCAATGATGAGAGAGAATCATTGATAGGCTGCCTCCTGCACGCCCCCTACTGGGGATCAAGCCCACAACCCCGGCTTGTGCCCCAACCAGAAATCGAACCGTGACCTCCTGGTTCATAGGTAGAAGCTCAACCATTGAGCCACCTGAGTCGGGCTCTCTTTTTTCTTTTTTTCCTCTATTATGAATGTCCCCCCCCCCTCGCCTAGGGCTTCACCACATTATTGTCTGTGTCCATGGACTATGCATATATATTCTTTGGTTGCTCCATAGCTCCATGGACAACGTCCATGTTCCCTTTCCACTCCTATGTGACTGGGCCTCAACTTCTGCTCCCCCACACAACTGGCCACCAGCAGTCTCCATCTTTGGGCCTTTGCTCTTGCTTGTCCCTCTGCCTGGAGTCTCTCCACAAGCTTTTCTCATCACAAGAGTGATGAATGTCAGCTCAAGAATCACCTCCCTGCGGCCTCCTCAGATCCCCATCTAAAGAGGCTCCCCTAACTCCTTCCATCACCCTGTTTATTTCCTTGTGTGAGTCACGCAGTTTGCTTCTTGTGCCTTTACTCTGTTACCATCTGTCCTCCTTTAGAAAGTGAGCTACGTGAGGCCAGGAACCAAGCCTGCCTCAGTCTGTGCCATGTGCATGCACCCAGCCAGGGCAGGAAGCCAACAGCTGTGGGGGAGGAGTCAGGCAAGCAGCACCCACCCACCCCTCCAAGGATGACAGCCCCTCGGAGTGGGGGCTCATTGGCTGGGGCCAGCCCACTAACCACTCCGTGGGCACTGTTTTCAGATCCAGGATGCCAGGAACCACGTGAGCCAAGCCATTTACCTCCTCAACAACCGGGATGAGAGCTACCAGTTCAGGACAGGAGCAGAGGTCCTTAAGGTGAGCTGCCTGCAGGCACAGGGGAGCCAGGTTTCCCACATCCACCCTGACCCCTGACCAGTTTCCTAGAGAACTCTGCCCCCATGTCCTCAAGTATAGCTGACAGCTAACCCTTCACCTCTCCATGTACACATGTCCATCCAGTCGTAGTCAAATAGCTCTAAGCCCAAGCTTCAGAATCAGACCTGGGTTCTGCTCCTAGGGCCTCCACTATTATCTGTACAACTTCAAGTCACTTAATTAGCCACTCTGTGCCTCCATATCCTCCCCTGCAAAAGGGGGATAAGATATAGTGACTACCAGTTGTTATAATGCAGGTAAAGTGGCCCCTAGTAAGTGCTCAGTAAATAGTAGCTGCTAGTAGTAGTACCAGCAATAAGAAAAAAAACCTGGCAATGAACAAAGTCAATTCACAAAGCATGGAGGGGAGAACTGAGTCTGGATGCCCTGGACCAGTCCCCAGGTGGTTCACATACCCTCTCTGGACCTCTGATTCTTCATATGAAACTTGGAATTAGATGGACTAAGGTCTCTCCCAGAACTGTGACTGCCCCGAGGAGGGGGGGATATAAGCTGCAGCCCCATGCCTCCTCCCAGTAGTTTTGCCTTTCCTGGGAGCCAGGTCAGCCTAGCATCTACAGCAACAGCTGGAAACAGTGGAAGCTGGGGCTCTGAGGAGTCCAAGTAAGGGCACTGCTCTGTAGTAAAGGAAAGGAATTAGTTCTAGATGGTTCCACAGTTCACAAGCAATGTGACTTTATCTCTTCAGAGCCTCTGTTTCTTCACCTGTGAAATGGGGTTGATGTCTGACTTAAGGCATCAACTCAACTGCCCCATTGTTTCTTCCAGGAAGCCCTCCCTTGCCTCTTACACCCTAGCCAGATTTGGGCCCCTTGTAAGCTCCTTCATTGCCTGTACCCCCATCCACCAAGCCCTCATGCCCCTGAGACTAACTCCTGGCATCTCATTCCCCATTGGACCAGTCCACAGGATCCCATTCAGTAGAACCTCCTGGATGGGTGGTACATAGTACAGACATGACCAGGCCCCAATTACCTGCATTTTTAACAAGCCCCCACTTTAGGGGGGTTCGGGCCCTGAGACCAGGACCACCAGGGCAGGAGCTGGAGCCACCATAACTTTGTCGTTCCCTGATGCTGGGGTGCGGGGGATGGGATTAGCCCTTACAGCAGCTGTAACTAACCCCTTGCCTCCAGCTGATGGATGCCGTGATGCTGCAACTGACCAGAGCTCGCAACCGGCTGACCACCCCGGCCACCCTCACTCTGCCTGAGATTGCCGCCAGTGGCCTCACGGTCAGTGCCTCGGGCCAGGACAGCGGGTTCCTGGAAAGGGACACAGGGGTGCCAAGGGGTCAGAAGTTCCAAACTGTCATCAGCAGGAGTTCTATGTCTATGTCTCTGCAGTTTTCTGAGACAGGGTCCTCAGCTTCCCTCCTGTGTCCCCCCCAGATACATCACCCTGTCGAATCAGTGGTTCCCAAACCAGCAGAGCAGGAAGTTACCCAAGGCACCTGGGAAGAGACTAGATGCCCCAGTCCATATGATGAGGGCTGAGATTCCCCCAGGTGGTTTTTGGGGGGCTTCTCCCTGCCCTGCCTTTATCTCACTTGCCTGCCTTCCCCCTACCCCCACCCCATCCTCCAGCGTATGTTCACCCCTGCCCTGCCCTCCGACTTGCTGGTCAACGTCTACATCAACCTCAACAAGCTCTGTCTCACTGTGTACCAGCTGCACACCCTGCAGCCAAATTCCACCAAGGTAAGCAGAACCCTACCAACCCCCAACCCCTGACCTCTGCCCCCACTGACCCATGCCCTGCAACCGCAAAGGCCTGAGACTGGGTCTGATGCTCTTCTGCCTAGAACTTCCGACCAGCTGGAGGCTCCGTGCTCCACAGCCCTGGAGCCATGTTGTAAGTACACTGTTGGGAGGGGTGCCCTGGAGGGCCCTCTCCACCTCAGGGGCTGCGGGACTCAGGGACCCGACCCTCTGCCCACAGTGAGTGGGGCGCCCAGCGTCTGGAGGTGAGCCATGTGCACAAAGTGGAGTCGGTGATCCCGTGGCTAAATGATGCCCTGGTCTTCTTTACCGTCTCCCTGCAGCTCTGCCAGCAGCTCAAGGATAAGGTGGGAGCACAGGGGTGGTGGGGTCTGGGCTGAGCCACAGTCTCAAACAGATGAGGCCAGCCAGGCAATAGCCCCTTCATTTTGGGGGTATTCCACGGGCTCTTGTCTCAGGGCCAAAGCACCCCCAAATCTTAAGGTCTTTTGTACCCACTGCACATACCAGGCTGATGGGCCATTGTGCTGCTGGGCAACAGTACCCTCTCCCTGACACATTGCCCTTGGATAACCTTGAAATCTCACCTGAGTCACAGGGTGCAACAGGGGCCAGGCCCCCCAGCACCACCGCTCACCATGCCCCCCCACCTTCCTCCCTCCCTAGATCTCGGTGTTCTCCAGCTACTGGAGCTACAGGCCTTTCTAAGCAGAGCACCCAAGAGCCTGTCCCCCTGAGGAGTGGCCCCTAACCAGGGTGTCCCTGCCCCGACCACACCCTGGAGTGTGGCCCAAGCCAAGCACTACAGGAGATTTACTGCCCTCCTTGCCTGTCCTGCCCGTCACATTTGCACAGATGGGAGTTGAACACTGGAACTTCTGGAATGAAGGGAAGCTGACTTGCTTTTTGTTTGGGGTGGGGATGGGTCAAGAAGGTGGGGTCAGGAGTTGGCCCACATTCCAAGCCCTGCCCTTTGGACTCAAGGTGGAGCCCAGCCCAGGGCTCTCCTTCCCCCCTGCTGAGCTGCCCCCAGGTGAGGGGCAGCTGCACTCCTCCCGCTGGAAGGTGAGGAGTGGGTGGTGACCCTAAGCTGTGAGTTGGGAGAGAAGGAAAAGAAAAGGGCAGACAGAAGCCACATACCATGAGCTGGGGTCCCTTGACTGTTTACTCAGCAATCCTACCAGGGCCTCCAAGAAATAAAGATCATCCAACTTTGCCTGGACCCCTCTGTCTGGATGTCCGTCCGTCTGTCTGTCTGAGTAGGGACCAAGCTGGGGGTCCCTGGCTATAGGAGCCAAGTGGAGCACCCAGTGACTGAGCCCCTAGCCTACTCATGCCTCCTTTGAGAGGGCCCTCTGGCTGCTGAGGGGCTGAGTGGAATGGTGACAAGGGGTCTGCCTGGGGGTTTGGGCCCCGAGTTTGAGCCCAGCTCCCCCTCCCACAGATAGTTGCTGGATGACCCCCAGCAAGTTACTTAAGGTTTCCTGATGTCAGTCATGCTGCTGAAGTCTGAGGGACCAAGTGAGCACCTAGAGGGAGCAGTGAGTACTTGCATTGCCCACCCTTGGTGGGAGGTTGGAACACACTTCAGACTCAGGCTCTGGACAGACAAGGCCTTGTTACTGTTGCCCAGCATGGCATGTGAGCAGAGGGGCTGGGGGACTCGCCTCATTTTGGTTCCAGAGCCAAGTTACTCAGTCTCATGGAGTTCTCCTGTCAGAAAGGAGCAGAGGGAGCCCAGTGGGGTTCAGGCCTCAGTTCCCTGCTAACCCCCCATCTTGAGGAGCCCCAGCAGCCTCTCCTCCATCCCAGTGCAATTCCTGGCCTTCCAGGGCCAGTGGGACTCACCTGCTTGGCACTCATTGTCTGGGATCTGGAGGGGTGGTGGGGGCAGCAGCGGAGGCAGCAGGGGCAGCAGCGGAGGCAGCGGAGGCAGCAGGGGCAGCAGCGGAGGGAGCAGTGGCAGCAGCAGCGGAAGCAGCGGCAGCAGCAGCAGCAGGGGCTGCAGCAGCAGTTGAGGCAAATAAGCAGCATCAGGAGCAATATAGTGCCTGGGGGTGGGACAGGTGTCCAGACATGGCCCTCCACCTGGGGCCTGGCCTGAGAGGCTGATGGGCCAGAGGCAGAGACCATACCCAGGGCAATGAGGAAGATAATGAAGTAAGCGGTGTCTGACTTGGACTCAAACAGTTGGTTGCTCTTCAGTCTCCCCAGCACTTCCTTTGCTGTGGTCTCCAGATCCTTCAGGTTGGCCATCCCAGCTAGAGGGTCCTGGATGCCACCTGCCCCAACCCCCCAGAGGGAAACCTTTAGAGCTCTGGGTTCCTCTGGGGCCAGGCCACATACAGGCTCCCACCGTCCAGCCCCTGCCCCTTTCACACTGTCCCTCCAGGTCCCAGTTCCTGCCCCAACTTCACTTCCACTCCTCTCCTTGCCCTTACCTTGGTCCTGAACCTGACCTGACCAGCCCCTTCTCTTCCCACTTCCCCCAGCAGCCCCACATCAAGACCTGACCTGCCTCCAAGCTCTCAAAGCCTTAACTCCTGGGAGCATAGACTTCCTGCTTCCGGATCCACACCACCTGAGGCCTTAGCAACCAGCCCCTCTCTCCCCATGGCCAGCCCGGGGCTGCCAGAACTCAGAAGGCGGGACCTGTGTCTCAGCAGTGTGCTTCCTGCTTCCCAACAGCAGCTGGTACTGCTGGTCCCAGGAGGAGGTCACAGGCCTGTCAGTATCCTCACCCCAGGGCTTTTTCACTTTTTCTCAGTAGACCATACAAGCAGCCTGGGACAATGGGCACTCAGCTGCTGCTGACCATGAATAAAGGAAAGACAAAGAAAAAGAAGAGAGGGAGGGAGGGAGGAAGGAAGATTGAAAAGGGGAAAGGAGCCCTGGCTGGGTGGATCAGTTGGTTGAAGCATCGTCCCATATCCCAAAAGGTGATAGATTTGCCCTGGTTGGTTTGCTCAGTGGTTGGAGCATCAGCCCTTGCACCAAAGCATTGCGGGTTCACTCCTGGTCGGAACGTATAGAAGTGAACTGATGTTTCTCTCTCCCTTCCTCTCTCTCTTAAAAAAAAAAAATCAGCAAGAACATATCCTCAGGTCAAGATTAAATTTTAAAAAATTTTAAGGAGAAAGGAGGGAAAGGGAAAGAGGAAGAAGTATCTTTTCCACCACCCTTGTTGGTCTGCTGGGATGTGCCTGGCACCATATTAGAAGTCTTAGATCCTTATTTTCTCTGTTCTATTCCTCACAATAGCCCTATGGTTATCTCTCAAAAGAGCTCTTTGCCCAGAAGTTGGGGCTTGGGGCCCCTAACCCTGCAATCCCTGACCATGTCAGTGAGGCAGCTCTCACTCCTGCCTTCTTGCAGAGCACAGACATTTCCAGGCCCACTAGGCGCCAGACACTACTCAGCACGTGAGGTTGGCTATGAAACAGGTAGACACAGTGTTTTGTTCTTACAGTGCTTATGATCTAGTAGGGAAGAACATATCAGCTAATGTTAGGCTATATGTACATTACCTAATGTATCCCTCATGGCAATCGTACCGTGGGTATTACTGCTAATCCCCACTGTATTATTACAATCGTACAGTGGGTATTATTACAGATATGAAAACAGGCCTTGAGAAGCTCAGCAACCAGCTCTCGAGTCACACATCTCAGGGATTCATTTCCTGTTGTTGTAACATACTACCACAAGCATAGTGGTTTAAAACAACACAAATTCATTACCTCCCAGCTCTGGAGGTTGGTGTCTAAATGGGTTGGCAGGGCTGTATTCCTTCTGGGGGCTGTAAGGGAGAAACCATTCCTTGCCTTTCCAGTTTCTATAGGTCATATTCTTTGGTTCATGCCCCAGAACATCACTTTAATTTCTGCTTCCATCTTCACATCCACATCTCTGCCTGCCTTCTTGCTTTTCTCTTATAAGGAACCCTGTGATGACATTGGCCCCCAGGGTAATCTCCCCAGCAAAATTCTTAATCACATCTGCAAAGAACCCTTTTGCCACTTAAGGTGACATATTCGCAGGTTCCAGGGATTAGGATGGAAATATCTTTAGGGGCTATGATTCTAAGCCAACCACAACCAGTGAGCAGAGAAGCCAGAATTGGGACTCAGGCATTCAGATCCCAGAGTCCTTAACCATCATGTTATGGGGTTTCCTTTGCTGGGATCCCCGTCTTACACCCTCCATCCCAGTCTGAAATCTCAGACTGGTATTTTTAAACCAACTAGAATATTCTCTTGTAAAAATGGGGAGAGAGTGGGGTGCAGCCACTTTGGAAAACAGTCTGGCAATTTCTCAAAAAGTTACATACGGTGTTATCATATGACCTAACAATTCCACTCCTAGGTATACACATAAGAGAATTGGAAGCAAGTGCTCAAAGGCTTGTACACAACTGTTCACAGCAGCACTAACCACAATAGTCAAACGGTGGAAACAGCCCAGTGTCCATCAAGTGATGAATAGATAAAACATGGTCTATCCATACAATGGAATATTATTCATAAAAGGGAATGAAGCACCGACTTGCTACAACATGAGTGAACCTCAAAAACATGATGCCAAGTAAAAGAGGCTAGTCACAAAAGGCCACATATTGTATGATCCCATTTATATGAAATGTCCAGAACAGGCAAATCCATAGAGACAGAAAGTAGTGGCTGCCAGGAAAGGGGGATGGGCAACTGAGTGCTTAGTGGTTATAGGGTTTCCTTTTGGGGTGAGGAACATGTCTTGGAACTAGGTAGAGAGTGGTTTTGCAACCTTGTGAATGTACTACTAGTGAATGCTACTGATCTATTCACTTTAAAATGGCTGATGATTAATTTTATGTTATGTGAACTTTATCTCCGTTGGAAGAAAGTGGGGAGAGAGGCCAATAACTCAGCCCCTGCCCCCCTTGGCCTGGCTGGGTGATAAAAAGGCCCACGGTCCTCTTCCCTCCCCACTGGCCCTCAGTCTTACAGTCCAGACCCCTGGGTGCCTCGTTTCTTGTTTGTGATTATGAAAGTAAAACCACCTCATTAAAATCTGGGAAACTCCAAGGTGTTAAAAGACAAAACCAACCAAAGAGGCCCCAGACCCAAACAGCAATGATGGGCAGAGGAGGGTTCAGGCAAGTCAGACCCCAGATTCGGGTCCTGGTCCCAGCTTTTAACACCCACCAATGTGTGTGTGACCTGAAACACGGCCCCTGACCCCTCTCTGCCTCAGTTTCCTCATCTGTGTGTGAGAACAGTGTCCCCTCTCTTCAGGTTGTTGTGAGGATTGACGGACACACTCGGCACAGAAGTGTCTCCAGCACAGTGACGTACACTAGAAACAGGCACTAAGTGGCCATGTGTGGCTCTCACTCATTTTGTGGCTGGGGTTCCCTCTAGTTCTTAGTTCTTGGTGTACATTTGGATTCACCTGCCGTCCTCACTCTGCTCAGACCGCTTTAGCCTCCCCTCCACTCTCCCAGTCACCACAGCCAAGAGTGTCTTGCAAATGACTGCCACTTTCTGACCCTCCAGTTCACAATCGCTGAGACTTTCTTCCCAACATTTTTCAGAATCCCATGTCACTCACATGTGATGGTTTTCCTGGAGAAAGTGATGGTCTTCCTGCAGAGAGGCTATTTCCGTAGGGGACATTCCCAGAAGCAGAATGTGCCCCGGCTCAAGGTCATACCACGGGTCACTGGCACTCCTTGGTCATCTGCACCTAAAGTTCTCATTTGCTTTGATGAGGCCAGCCTTGCTGAATCCCTCAAGAACCGTGGAGTTGTAACTTGAAAGATTTTTCTGCTGGGAATGGAACCATGTTCAGAGCAGACTCTTGTCCCTGTCCTGCCCTGGGCCCTGCCCAGCCCCACTTCCAGCCTCCAAGCCTTGACAATGAAGGTTAAGCCTCTTGTCAGATGTGTAGACAGTGGGGGAGTAGAAGAGTGTGGGCAGAGAGGGACAGAAGGCTGGTTGGAGCACGGGACAGGTAGTAGGTGTATTGGGCAGAGTTGAGTGGATGGACAGAACAACCCTAATCGTTTACTGGCACACAGTCACGCCCTCCCCTTCACTTTCTGCTTTCACAGCTGAAGAGTAGCTGCAAGAGAGATCTTATGATCCGCAAAACCTGAAATATGTGTACTGTCTGAAAACTATTTATCAACGTCTGAGACCGAGGATTGCTTAGGGCTTGCAAACTCAGGTGCCAGAAAATAGGTGAGAAAAAAGTGAGATGGATTTGGTGTAAGAAACATCAGGGAGCCCGGCTGGTGTGGCTCAGTAGTTGAACGTCGACCTATGAACCAGGAGGTCAAGGTTCGATTTCTGGTCAGGGTACATGCCCAGGTTGCAAGCTCAATTCCCAGTAGGGGACATGCAAGAGACAGCCAATCAAGGATTCTCTCTCATCATAGATGTTTCTATCCCTCTCCCTTCCTCTCTGAAATCAATAAATTTTTTTTAAAAGAAACATTAGGGAAGGCTGAGAACTGTAGCAAATTGAAGAGCATATGGCCCAGCTAGAGAGCAGCTTGAATCAGCGATGGGCTGGGCCCAGAGTTGCCAGGGCTTACAATCTCTAAAATAACATTGGAAATCTAGATCTTTGTGTGAATAAGAAAAGAGACCAGAGAAGATGAGCCCGTAGCCTCAGATTTCATCTCTGCCATTTCCTCATTGTGTGACCTTGAACAATCCTTGAACAATGCCCTTGACTCATGTGTAAACAGGGTTATCTATAAACAGTATAGTAACAGCACATGTTTCATGGGCTATGATGATTATTAAATAAGTTCTCCTTCTATGGCCCCTAGAACAATGCCAGGTGATTAAGTATTTGCTAAATTGATGCTTTGATTTTTCAATGCTGCCAATTTAAAACACTATGATACCAGCAATGGATAGACCAAAGAAAGCACATGGATGTTCTGCTTTAGGTCATAAGTTTGCATCCCCTGGCAGAGTGGCTAAGGGAGATGAACTTGGAAGCCAGAGAGACTGGCTGAATGAAGCCCAGATCTGCCACACATACCATCTAGGTGACCTTGGGCAAGGGACCTGCCCTGGGCACCTGGGTTCCTGTCTATAGTCCTAGGCCAGCGGTTCTCAACCTGTGGGTCGCGACCCCTTTGGCGGTCGAACGACCCTTTCACAGGGGTCGCCTAAGACCATCCTGCATATCAGATATTGACATTACGATTCATAACAGTAGCAACATTACAGTTATGAAGTAGCAACGAAAATAATTTTATGGTTGGGTCACAACATGAGGAACTGTATTTAAAGGGCCAGAAGGTTGAGAACCACTGTCCTAGGCCAAGGTCGTTGTGAGGATTGCAGGGTAGTGTCTCGAACGGCCTGGAGGAGCAGCTTACCTGTCCCTGCCCTCGGCTCCCTGCTGCAGAGGAGCCCCCAGGTGGTGACACAGGGAGCAGTGGGGCTTTGATTCTTCAGTTAACTGTCACCCTCTCCCCTCCCCCTCACCACAAACACCAGGATCTTCCAGGACAGGGCAGCCCCTAAAACTCCCACAGGAGCCCAGGGCCTCAGGTGCCACACGAGGCTGCTTCTCTCTCTGTCTCTGACAGATCGGCCGCTGGGCTTTGCTGGGGTAGGGTCTGAGCAGAGAATCTGCCTGGGCATGGCTGGGTCTGGAGTGGGAGCTGGGGTACAGGAGGAACAAACCCCTGGGAAGGTGCATATCGGATGGGAGTTCAGTCTCCCTCCAGAGGCAGCTCCCCTGGGCACCGCTCACCAAACCTTTTGGGCCATGGGCGCCTGGAGGATAGACGGACCAGGGGCATAATGTGTGGGAGTATCTGGAAGCAGAACTAAGGAGTCAGGGTTCAAAATGAGAACTCAGATGTTCCTCCTGGGAGCCCCAGCAACCTCTTCTCCCCACCTCACCCAGATACCAGGCATCGTTGGGCCCTTGGCCCCATGGACCCCCTAAGGCGATCCCTCTCCCCCTGCTCATCAAGGCCCACCTCCTGCGAGATGCTTGGTTATGTGGGCATCGAGGCCGTGCTGGACCAACTGAAGATCAAGGCCATGAAGATGGGTTTTGAGTTCAACATCATGGTGGTAGGTGAGTGAGAGGCGGGGCTCACAGGAGGACCAATGGGCCAGGGCATGTCTCCTCACCTCTTGGGGCCTTGTAGTTGAAAATCTGGGAAACACTGAGTTGAAAGACAAAAATCACCCATAAAGCCGCAACCAAACCCAAACAGAGCAGTAAAATCTAGGCCGAGGCAGGAAGTGCTGAACCCCCCACTCAGATCCTGGTGCCAGCCCTAAGCCCACCAACCAGCAGGGAGGGATCTTGTGCACAGCCTCTGACCTCTCTCTCTCCACCTCAGTTTCCTCATCTGGCTTAACAGTGCCTGGCGTTTAGTAAGTTTTCCCCGGGTCAGTTTATGTGGAATTACTTCTTTTTTTTAAATTTATCTTTATTGTTGAAAGTATTACAGATGGCTCCTCTCCCCCTGCCCCCCTCCATTGACTCCCTCTACCCAGCACCTGCCCTGGAATTGCTTTCTTATATATTCACAATTGATTTTGTAGGTCAATACTATACTTTTTAATTTTTTTTTAATTTATTGATTAATTTTAGAGAGACAGGAAGATAGGGAGAGAAAGAACATTGATTAGTTGTTCCACTTATCTATGCATTCATGGGTTGATTCTTATATGTACCCGAACCAGGAATAGAACCCAAAACCTTGGTGTATCAGGATAACACTCTAACCAACTGACTACCCGGCCAGGAAACTACTATACTTTTAACAAAACAAACTAGATACAACAGGACACAAAATATTGGAGTGTGTATCTCCAATTAAGGACACTATTCTAAGGCAGCACTGTATAATAGAAATGTAACATGAGCCATATGTGTAATTTTTTTTCACATATGTAATTTTTAAATTTCCTAGTAGCCACTTTTTAAAAAGTAAAACAAAGTAAAATTTTGTTGTTGTTAATCTTCACCTGAGGATATTTTTCCACTGATTCTTCAAGAAAGTGGGAGGGGAGAGGGAGGGGCAGAGAGAGAGAAACATCGATGAGAGAGAGACATATTGATTGGTTGCCGCCCTCACGCGCCCAGACCAGGAGGGGATTGAGCTTGCAACCGAAGTACGTGTCCTTGATCAGAATCGAACCCAGGACCCTTCAGTCCGAGGGCCGATGCTCTATCCAATGAGCCAAATTGGCTAGGGCCGAAGAAATTAATTTTATTCATTTATATATATATATATATTATTGATTTTTTACAGAGAGGAAGGAAGAGGGATAGAGAGTTAGAAACATCCATGAGAGAGAAACATCCATCAGCTGCCTCCTGCACACCCCCTACTGGGGATGTGCCCGCAACCAAGGTACATGCCCTTGACCAGAATCGAACCTGGGACCCTTGAATCTACAGGCTGACGCTCTAGCCACTGAGCCAAACTGGTCAGGGCAATCATCTATTTTATTTAACCCAATATGTGCCAAAATGCTATTATCTCAACATGTAATCCATCTAAAAATTCATGATATCTTTTACATTCTTCTTGTCTTATCAAATCTATAAAACCTGGTTTGTATTTTCCATTGAGGGTACATCTCAATTCAGATTTGCCATATTTCCATGTGGAATAGCCAAGTGTGGCTTCTGTGTTGGACAGAACAACCCTAAGGACAATTTGGTTACATACACAAAGGTGTGTCCTGGGTTTACAGTAGGATGTTTCCTAGTGGGAGATGTTGTCCACAGAGTTGGAGAGGCACCTCACAACCCACAGGCAGGATGCGAGAACCTCTCCAAGTAGCTAAAGAAGCCAGACACAGAAGAGCAGCTGCTGAGTGATCCCCTAGGTCAGTGGTCAGCAAACTGTGGCTCACTAGCCACATGCGGCTCTTTGGCCCCTTGAGTGTGGCTCTTCCACAAAATACCACATGCGGGCACGCACGTACAGTGCAATTGAAACTTCATGGCCCATGGGCAGAAGTCGGTATTTTGTGGAAGAGCCACACTCAAGGGGCCAAAGAGCCACATGTGGCTCGCCAGTCGCAGTTTGCTGACCACTGCCCTTGGTCAAGGGAGGAAAGAGCTGCTTCTGCTGTTATAAGCTAGGAGAGTGGCAGTCCCTGGGGGACGGGGTTAATAGTTGCTGAGATTGGGCATGAGTGAGCTTGGGGAGAGCTGTGTGTTTTGTGATCTGGTGTTTCGTACACAGGTTGTTTCATTTGTGAAAACTTGAACTGCCCATCTTATATAATAAAAGGCTAATATGCAAATAGACCAAATGGCAGAACAACCAAACAACCAGTCGCTATGACATGCGCTGAACACCAGGGGGGAACATGGTGGGCGTTGGCTGAGGTGGGATGGGGAAGCATGTGAGAGGGGGCACTAGACCAAGGTGGGCGCTGGTCACGGTCATGGGGGCGAGCCTCTGGAGGTTACTGAAAATTCTTTGCTCCCACGTACCGTGGTCCCGCCAGGCCCTCGCACCTGCTGCCAGCGCTGGCCCTGCTCACACCCGCTGCCGGCACAAGAGCCGCCGTTTGCACCCACTGCTGGTGCCTGGTGCCAGTCTCGATCACTCAGCACCATCAGCGGCGCCTGTCGGTCCTGATCACCCCTGAGGACCTTCCACCTCCACCCTGCTCCTGAGGGGTGATCGGGGCAGCAGCCGACACTCACACCTGCTGCTGGCACCAGTCCCAATTGCTCCACACCATCAGCAGGTGCGAGTGGGGCCGGTGCCAACAGCACGTGGGAGCAGCAGGTTGGGAGCAGCAGCAGCGGAGCGGGGCTGCCAGCAGACGGGACTGGGGCCATGGTGGGAGGGGCCAGACGGGGGCACGGAGGATGGGCCGAGACCCGCCTCTGTGCCTACTGCAGCCTCGTGGCCCACAGTTCCTTTCAAGGTGCACGGATTCATGCACTGGGCCCTTAGTCAACACATAAATGGATAAACGCAATGTGGTCTGTCCATCCTGTGGAATATTACTCAGCTATGAAAAAGAATGAAACAGTGCCCTGGCCAGGTGGCTCATTTGGTTGGAGCATCGTCCCGTACACAAAAAGGTAGTGGATTCTATTCCCTGTCAGAGAACATACCTAAGTTTCTGGTTCAATCCCTGTTTGGGGCACGTGGGGGAGGCAACCAATTGATGTTTCTCTCTCGCAAAGATATTTCTCTTTCTCCCTTTCTCTCTCTCTAAAATCAATAAAAACATATCCTTGGGTGAGGATTTTTTTTTACAAGAATGAAGTGGTAACATATACTACAACATGGATGGACTTTGCAAACATTAAACTGAGTGGGAGAAGCCAAATTCAAAAAGACAAATATTCATGAATCTATTTACATGAAATATCCAGAGTGGTAAATCCATAGAGACGGAAAGTAGATTGGTGGTTACTGGAGGCTGGCAGAGGGAAGTGGCTGCTTTAGTGAACAGAGTTTCTTTTGGGGAGGTGATAGAGGTGGTGCTCGATAGAGGTGGTGGTTGCACAACACTTCTAATGCACTAAATGCTACTGAATTGTTCACTTTAAATGGTTACTGGTTGCCAGCTGATATGGCTCAGTGGTTGCCCATCAACCTATAAACCAAAAGGTCATGGTTTGATTCTTGATCAGGGCACATGCTCAGGTTGTGGGCTCGATCCCCAGTGTGGGGCCTGCGTGAGGCAGCCAATCAATGATTCTCTCTCACCATTGATGTTTCTATTTTTCTCTCCCTTGATCTCTGAAATCAATAAAAATATTTTTAAAGAACAATAAAATAAAATAAATAAATGGTTACTGGTTAATTCTTTTATTATATGAATTTTGCCTCCATAAGAAATGGGGTAAGCATTGAGGTGAACACTTAGGATAGTATGCACTTTTTTATATTTATGTTATACTTAGAAAACTGTTTACTTTCTAAAAAGATTTATGAGTTTGAGAAACACTGCCTAAAATATCCACCATTATTGCTGTCATCTGGTTACTCCCAGGGCAGAGTGGGCTGGGCAAGTCCACGATGGTGAACACACTGTTCAAGTCCAAAATATGGAAGTCCACCCCATCGGGCCTGGCGCTGGGGCCCACGCCCCAGACGCTGCAGCTGCACTCGATGACCCATGGTGAGTGAGGCCCCACCCTCACCCCTACCCCACCTTGTCCCACCCAGTCCAATCCCTTCCTCCCTCCACTCTCCTCCACAGTCATCGAGGAGAAAGGCGTGAAGCTCAAGCTGACCGTGACCGACACGCCTGGCTTTGGGGACCAAATCAACAATGACAAGTGGTGGGTCCTCTGGAGTGGGCGGAGCCCTGGTTGCCCCGCCCCTGCCCCTGCCCCTGGAACATTCCATCCCTGGAACAGCCTGACTGTGGTATCTTGGAGCCTCAGTTTATTCGTTTGTATAATGAGTGCATACAACTCTCCCCCCAAGATTGAAGGGAGTCAGCGGGTAAAGGTTTTAGCTGCTGCCTGGCACACAGTAAGCACTCAGGAAGGTATAAGCAGGGGGTAGAAGCCCACACTCGGGACCCCTGGGTGAGACCACTTTCCAGCTGCACAACCTGGAACTAGTCACAGAAGCTCTCTGAGTCCCGGTTTCCTTTGTGACTTGGGAATGATGACACCCACCTTGCAGAGCTGTTCAAGGCTCTAAATGAGACAGACACACAAAATCAGGACCGGCTGCATAATCTTTGGGACCCAGTGCGATGAAAATGTGGGCTCCCTTGTTCAAAAATGATCAAGAATTGTAAGAACAACCGCAGAACAGTCCACCAAGCCTTCTCAGTACAGATCCCTGGGCTCCATGCACTCCACTGAAGCTGGCCCAGCACCACATGCTTTGTTGAGCATTTGCTACGTGCAAGCTCTGTTCTAGAGCAATAAACAAAACAGGTGAACATCCTTGCTTACATGGAATTTACCTTGTCACAGGGGTAAGGGACAGACAATGAATAAAATAATCAGTTAATCCGAGAGAGAGCCTGAACTCGATCATCCAAAGAGGACATTTCTTTTTTTTTTTTTTTTTTTTTTTTATTTTATTTTTATTTATTTTTTTTATTTATTTTTTTTTTATTGCTTAAAGTATTACAAAGGGTATTACATATGTGTCCATTTTATCCCCCCGCCCTAGACAGTCCCCTAGCCTCCCCTATCCCCCAATGTCTTATGTCCACTGGTTATGCTTCTATGCATGCATACAAGTCCTTTAGTTGATCTCTTACCCCCCTACCTCCTGCCCCGCAACCCTCCCCGGCCTTCCTGCTGCAGTTTGACAATCTGTTTGAGGCAGCTCTGCCTCTGTATCTATTATTGTTCAAAAGTTTATAATGGTCTCTATTATCCATGAATGAGTGAGATCATGTGGTATTTTTCCTTCATTGACTGGCTTATTTCACTTAGCATAATGCTCTCCAGTTCCATCCATGACGTTGCAAATGGTAAGAGTTCCTTCCTTTTTAGAGCAGCATAGTATTCCATCGTGTAGATGTACCACAGTTTTCTAATCCATTCATCTACTGATGGGCACTTAGGCTGTTTCCAGATCTTAGCTATGGTGAATTGTGCTGCTATGAACATAGGGGTGCATATATCCTTTCTGATTGGTGTTTCTGGTTTCTTGGGATATATTCCTAGAAGTGGGATCACAGGGTCAAATGGGAGTTCCATTTGTAGTTTTTTGAGGAAACTCCATACTGTCTTCCATAGTGGCTGCACCAGTCTGCATTCCCACCAGCAGTGCACAAGTGTTCCTTTTTCTCCACATCCTCTCCAGCACTTGTCGTTTGTTGATTTGTTGATGATAGCCAGTCTGAGAGGTGTGAGATGGTACCTCATTGTTGTTTTGATTTGCATCTCTCGGATGATTAGTGACTTTGAGCATGTTTTCATATGTCTCTTGGCTTTCTGAATGTCCTCTTTTGAAAGGTGTCTATTTAGGTCCTTTGCCCATTTTTTGATTGGATTGTTTATCTTCCTTTTGTTAAGTTGTATGAGTTCCCTATAAATTTTGGAGATTAGGCCCTTATCGGATATGACATTGGCAAATATGTTTTCCCACACAGTGGGTTTTCTCGTTGTTTTGTTGATGGTTTCTTTTGCTGTGCAGAAGCTTTTTATTTTGATGTAGTCCCATTTGTTCATTTTCTCTTTAGTTTCAAGTGCCCTAGGAGCTGTATCAGTGAAGAAATTGCTTCGGCATATGTCTGAGATTTTGTTGCCTTTGGATTCTTCTAGAATTTTTATAGTTTCCTGTCGTACATTTAAGTCCTTTATCCATTTTGAGTTTATTTTTGTGTATGGTGTAAGTTGGTGGTCTAGTTTCATTTTCTTGCATATATCTGTCCAATTTTCCCAGCACCATTTATTGAAGAGACTATCTTGGCTCCATTGTATGTTCTTGCCTCCTTTGTCAAATATTAATTGAGCATATTGGTTTGGGCCGATTTCTGGGCTCTCTATTCTATTCCATTGATCTATATGCCTATTCTTGTGCCAGTACCAGGCAGTTTTGAGAACAGTGGCTTTGTAATACATCTTGATATCTGGTATTGAGATCCCACCTACTTTGGTCTTTTTCAGGATTGCTGCAGCTATTCGAGGTCTTTTTTTATTCCAGATGAATTTTTGGAGAGTTCGTTCTAGATCTCTGAAGTATGCCATTGGTATTTTAATGGGAAGTGCGTTGAATTTATAGATTGCTTTGGGTAGTATGGACATTTTAATGATGTTGATTCTACCAATCCATGAACACGGTATGTTCTTCCATCTGTTTATGTCTTCCTCTATATCTTTTTTCAACGTCCTGTAGTTTTCTGAGTAGAGGTCTTTTACCTCTTTAGTTAAGTTTATTCCTAGGTAGCTTAATTTTTTTGGTGCGATGGTAAACGGGATTGTTTTTATAATCTCTCTTTCTGAAAGTTCACTATTGGTGTATAGAAATGCCTCGGATTTCTTGGGGTTAATTTTGTATCCTGCTACATTGCCAAATTCATGTATTAAGTCCAGTAGCTTTTTGATGGAGTCTCTAGGGTTTTGTATGTATAATATCATGTTGTCTGCAAATAAGGACAGTTTTACTTCCTCTTTTCCAATTTGGATGCCTTTTATTTCTTCTTCTTGCCGAATTGCAATGGCTAACACTTCCAGTACTATGTTGAACAGGAGTGGTGAGAGGGGGCATCCCTGTCTTGTTCCTGTTCTTAGGGGAAATGGTGTTAGTTTTTGTCCATTGAGTATGATGTTGGCTGTGGGCCTGTCATATATGGCTTTTATTATGTTGAGGTATGATCCTTCTACTCCCACCTTGCTGAGAGCTTTTATCAAAAATGGGTGTTGAATTTTGTCAAATGCTTTTTCTGCATCAATTGATATGACCATGTGGTTTTTTTCTTTCAATTTGTTTATGTGATGTATCACGTTTATTGATTTGCGGATATTGTACCATCCAAAGAGGACATTTCTGAGAGCGAAACAGGTACAGAGCTGTAGGGGGTTGCAATTTTAAGCAGAGTGCTCAAGAAAGACCTCTCAGAAAGGTGACATTTGGACACAGATTCCAGGAGATGAGAGCCATGTGGACATGGGGGAAGGAGTGTCTGAGGCTGAGGGTGGCATGTGCAAAGGCCCTGATGTAGGCAGGCTGGTGTGGCTGGCAGGGCAGGAGGAATAGGGAGAGGAGGAGGAGACGACAGGCAGGAAGCAGTGGTGAGATAGTATAGGGCAGTGGTCGGCAAACTCATTAGTCAACAGAGCCAAATATCAACAGTACAACGATTGAAATTTATTTTGAAAGCCAAATTTTTTAAACTTAAACTATACAGGTAGGTACATTCTTATTAAGTAGGGTACTCCTACGGCTTAGGAAGAGCCACACTCAAGGGGCCAAAGAGCCGCATGTGGCACACGAGCCACAGTTTGCCGACCACTATACTATAGGGCCCTGTAGGGCAATGTAAGGACTGGCTTTTGTTCAGTCCCTAGAGGCTGAGCAGGAGAGGAACACGATCTAACTCCTGCTTTTGGAAGGATCTTCTTGGCTGCCATTGACAACAGCCCACAGAGAGAAGGGGCCCAGGGAGAGGAGTCAGGCAAGCCCTCTGCAGTCAGGCAAAAGTCCACCATGGTTTGAACCAGGCCAGCGGCAATTTCTCTTGTTTAACGCTCACTCTCCCCACCCCAAAGTAGGTATTCATATTGTCCCCATTTTATAGACAGGAAAGATGAGGCCTCAGCTCAAGAATGGCAGAGGGACTCTCTGATGATGCAGGGAGTAAAGATGAGGAGTATACTCAGGTGCCCAAGCACCTCAAGCTGTGCAAGACCAAAGGTCCTGTGTCCTCGGCAAATGAGTTAATTGGTCATCTGCAGGGGCGACTACCCAAAGGACCCAGGGAGACAGGTGGGACTCCTGGGCACAGCCCTGAGGTCGGGTCCATCCCCCACCCCAGCTGGGACCCCATCCTGGGCTACATCAATGGACAGTATGAGCAGTACCTGCAGGAGGAGATCCTCATCACCCGCCAGCGCCACATCCCCGACACCCGGGTGCACTGCTGTGTGTACTTCGTGCCGCCCACTGGGCACAGGTGAGGTGGCTGGGCCGACCACGGCAGAGAGGAGGAGGGGGGGGGGGGAGAAGGAGGGGTTCCCGGCATGGGCTGTGGGCTGGCATCCCCTCACTCACACACTTGCTCCTGCCACTACCACCACCATCACTGTCCTGCCTGAGCAGCCTGCGGCCCCTGGACATTGAGTTTCTGCAGCGGCTGTGCCGGACTGTGAACGTGGTGCCCGTGATCGCTCGGGCAGACAGCCTGACCCTGGAGGAGCGAGAGAACTTCAGGCGCACGGTGATCTGGGTGCCTGAGGCGAGGATGGGGCTGGTGGGGGTGGGGAGGAGCAAAGTGCAAGGTTGACCGAGGTTCCGGGGCCCCCAGATCCAGCACAACCTGAGGACTCACAGCATCGATGTGTACCCACAGCAGTGCTTCGATGAGGACGTCAATGACAAGATCCTCAACTGCAAGATCCGGGTAGGAGGCCGTGGGGGCAGGGAGGCTGGCGGGACAAAGGCAGAGTGATTTTCTTCCCTCTCATTCTTTCCATCTGAAGATTATACTGGGAGAAATGTCATCTGTTTCTAGCAGATGTGACTCTCTAAGGTGAGCGAGAAGTAAGTCATAGCAACAACCCACAGAATAAGAGGAAATGTTTACAAATGCCATATCTGATAAGGGACTTATATCCTGATTGTAAAAAGATCTCTTACAAATCAACAATAAAAGACAACCCAGTTTAAGAATGGGCAACGGCTCTTGAGTAGACATTTCCCCAAATACTTTATAGGAATGGCCAATGAGCATATGAAAAGATGGTCGACATCATCAGCCATAAGGGAAATGCACATCACTTCACACCCCTAGGATGGCTATTATCAAAATGAGAGATAATAACAAGTGTTGTGAGGACGTGGAGAAATGGAAACTTTCACACCTTGCCGGTAGGAAGATCAAATGGGTACTGTAGCTTTGGGAAACAGTTGGACAATTCTTCAAAAGGCTAAACGCTGCCCTGGCTGGTGTGGCTCAATTGGTAGAGCACTACACCATGTACCGAGAGGTTGCTGGCTCCATACCCGGTCAGGGCACATGCATGGGTTCTGGGCTTGATTCCCAGTAGTGGGCATGCAGGAGGCAGCTGACTGATGTTTCTATTTCCCTCTCTCTAAAATCTCTCTCTAAAATCAATAAGAAGACTAAGAAAAAAGAAAAAAGGTTATACACTGCTCAGCCAACTTGGCTAAGCGGTTGAGCGTTGACCTATGAACCAGGAGGTCACTGTTCGATTCCTGTTCAGAGCACATGCCCAGGTTGTGGGCTCGATCCCCAGTGGGAGTTGTGCAGGAAGCAGCTGATCAATGATTCTCTCTCATCATTGATGTTTCAATCTCACTCTCCTTCCTCTCTGAAATAAATAAAAATATTTTTTAAAAATAGAATATCTCAAAAGGTTAAACACTAAGTACCCTGTGACCCAGTAATTTCTCTCCCAAAAGAAATTAAAACCTGTGTCCATGTAAAAAACGTATACACAAGTGTTTATAGTAGATTTATTCACAATAGCCAAAAAGTGGAAACAATCCAAATGTCCATTACCTTGTGAAAGGATAACCAAATGTGGTCCATCCATACAATGGAATCTTACGGCCGTAAAAAAGAATGAGGTTCTGAGAGGTGCTACAACCTGGATAACCCTTGAAAACATGATGCTCCGTGAAAGAAGCCAGGCACAAAAGGCCACACGCTGCGTGATTCCATTATCGGAAATGTCCAGAACAGGCAAATCTATAGAGACAGGAAGTAGATTAGTGTTTGCCAGGGGCTAGCAGGTTTCTTTTGGGGACCATGGAAATTCTCTGAAATTAGATTGTGCTGATAGTTGCACAATCTTGTAAACATACTACAAACAACGGGGCTGCCCCTTCAAAAGGGTGCATTTTGTGGTATGTGATTTATATCTCAATAAAGCTGTTACAAAAAAGAAAGAGGAAATAGCGCACATCTTCATTTTCTCTGAATTAACTGAATTCCAACTCCAAGCCCCATCCCGCCATCCTAATGTTGTAATGTACCCCGCGAATAACTCACAGGACGCAAAATCAAATCAATGAGTCATTTAATCAATAAAGCCGGCAACTTCGAGGGAGATGCGGCTGCAAATCTCGCAGTGCCTGAGTGAGGGCAGGAGCCATCTTATAAAGGCAAAAACCACATCCTGCTAGACGTTGGAATGTGGAATTATCTTGCGAAAGCAGTTTTACAGAAGCAGAACTGAGCAAAGTTAATAATCTTTAAAGGTTATCTATAGTTTCAGTTCCTGGAGCCAATGAGTCACCGGAAAGTATTCCCAGAGCCACTGAGTTAAGGAAAGCGATTTTGTGGTTCTGGTCCTCAGACACAGGAGAATAGCCTTTGTGATGTGGGCTGGCAACATAATGGGGTGATTTATGTGAGTTTCCAGGTCTCAGTCTGGAAACTGAGGTAACCACCTTATTGTTTAAGCAAGCAGGTGTAGAGAAGCCAGAGCAGCAGGGTTAAAATTCAAACAGCAGTTCTTACCCGAGATGAACGTTGCTGTGCTTCATTGCTTCACTTAGGGTGCAGTCAGTGTTAGTCCCCTGGAACCTGGGAAGCACCTGCCTCATCCATGGACAGCAGACCTCAACTCCCGCCCTGGGGGCCCTGCCAGCGCTTTCGCTTGGACTAGAAAAAGGCAACAGCTGCCTTCCCAGTTGCGGGCCGACCCTGATTTCAACCCTACACGGTCATGACCAGTTGCCTTTGTGCCCTGCACAAACTGCGCATCCATACATGGAGGCCCTGCTTCCCACCTGGCACCCAATTTCTCTGCACATCCCCTCTCCCTCCCCACCGGAGCAAGGAACAGGATCCCCGTGAAAGATTCAAAGCGCCCGACCTTCACCAGCTCTGCATTCTGTCCTGAGGCAGGCAAAGACGACAGCCTGGCCACAGCCTGAACAGAGATGGACGGAGCACAGGGAGCACCTTCTCAAATTAATGTCTCAGTAAATCATCCAACAGAACATTGATCCAGGGTTTAGTTGCTACCGGCAGGCGCATAAGAAGTGTACAACAAATGGTTACTATTATTAGCATCAAATTACAAATTAATTCTAGCGATAAAGACAAACCCATATACAGCACTTTGGAGTTTACAAGGTTGAATCTCCACTTCCAGTCAGGAGCAAGTAAACAACTAGAACTGAGTACAGGGTTTAGCACACATTTTTGTGACAGGCCAGATGATGGTGAGTACGGATCTTATGCTGTGTGGGCCAAGCTGGCTCTCGCAATGACTCAACTCCGCTGTGGTAGCGTGAAAGCCACATAGACAACAGTAACTGAATGGACAGGGCTATGTGAAACTTCACAGACGGAAACAGGAGGTGGGCCAGGTTGCCTGTGAGCCAGATGTGGCCAACCCTGGTTTACCAAGTTATCATGTTGAATGTGATCACTGTTCCTATTTCATAGGTAAGAGACTGGCATCAGCAAGATTTTAGTAACATGGCTATTAGTAACCACAGTTTCCAAGGGTTACTCTGCTAGCCCTTAATAATGCTAAGCACTTCCCAAACATTCACAAAGCTCTAAGTCAGTGCTATTAAGACTCTCACTCTACAGATATGGAAACTGAGGCACTGATTCAACTTTGCATATTCTAACTCATTAATATCTTGTGCTCCTTCTACCACTTTCCCCACAAAAGACAGCCCCACCCCCACCTCAGGATCTTTACTCTCCACATGCCTGGCAAGGCCAACCTTCTGGTCTTGTCCCCTCCCCAAAGGACCGGATCCCCTTTGCTGTGGTCGGGGCTGACCGAGAGCACATGGTGAACGGGAGGTGTGTGTTGGGCCGGAAGACAAAATGGGGCATCATTGAAGGTCAGTGCAGGTGCTTGGGGAGGACACCGGTGAGAATGGGTTGGAAACCAGGACACACCCTCTTGCCTTTGGGACCCTTAGCGCCTCTCACAGGGCCCTAGTGATTAAACCAGGGGTGGGCAAACTTTTTGACTCGAGGGCCACAATGGGTTCTTAAACTGGACCGGAGGGCCGGAACAAAAGCATGGATGGAGTGTTTGTGTGAACTAATATAAATTCAAAGTAAACATCATTACATAAAAGGGTACGGTCTTTTCTTTTTTTAGTTTTATTCATTTCAAACGGGCCGGATCCGGCCCGCGGGCTGTAGTTTGCCCACAGCTGGATTAAACCCACAACCAGGGAAGAGACAGACCTGGGATCAAGCCCCTTCACAGCTGGGAGGCCTCAGGCAAATTACTGACACTCTGGACTTCAGTTTTCTTTTTTAAAAAATCCTTATTTATTTTTCCATTGATATTTAGAGAGAGTAAAAGGGAGGGAAGAGAGAGAGAGAGGAACATGGATGTTAGAGCGACACATGGATTGGTTGCCTCCACACGCACCTCGAACAAGGCCAGGGATTGAGCCTACAACCAAGGTACATGCCCTTGACCAGAATCGAACCCGCGACCCTTCAGTCCGGAGGTCAACACTCTGTTCACTGAGCCGAACCAGCTAGGGCTGGACCTCAGTGTCTTCACAGAAAAATGAGCGTGATAGTAACATAAATTTCATGTGGTAGTTGGAGGGGGCAGAGCCACCGCTTTGGACAGTGTTCGGCACCCAGAATTTATTGAAGGCCTACTATGTGCCAGGCATACTATGTGCTATTCCTAAGGGGGAGACAGGGAAAATAGGACCAACAGGGTTCCTGTCCCCATAGAGCTGGCAAGATGACGACAGGTGGGAGAAGCATGATGAAGGAAATACGTGGGGTGGGAGAGGTGGGCTACCTCAGGGAGCAGAGAAGGATAAAGATAAGACTGTCGGGTAAAGGAGCAGCAGTCAGAGCCTGAGTCTTGATGTAGCAATATAATTTTTAAAAGTAAAATATAATATGTATTATTCTTATGTATATACTATATTATCATATATATTATACTATATATAAAATAATGTACATACATTATATTAAATGTATATTTATATACATTATATACAATATGTTAAATATGTACTATATGTATACATTATATTATACCATATATATATACACCATAGTATACATTATATTGTATATACAATATAATATATAAGATAAATGATCAGTGGATTGACTGATCTAACAACTATTTGTAGGAGCCACCTGTACCAGCCACTGGGGTCACAGCAATGAGTGAATGAATGAATGAATGAATCAATCAATCAATCAATCAAGAATGGGAGGTGGGCCCTGGCTGGTGTAGCTAAGTGGTTAGAGCACTGGCCCACAAACTGAAGGGTCTCAGGTTCGATTTCCAGTCAAGGGCACATACCTGGATTGCTGGTTCGATCCCTGCCCTGGTCAGGGTGAGCACAGGAGGCAACCAATCGATGTGTGTCTCTCACATCGATGTTTCCTTCTGTCTCCCTCCCTTCCTTCCACTCTCTAAAAATCAATGGAAAAAAATATCCTCAGGTGAGGATTAACAACAAAAAAGGAATGGGAGGTGGGATAAGACAGTAAGAAATGTGGGGGAAAGATGGTGGTGGGTACAGGTGGCATACAGTAGGCGCTTACTTGGTGCTAAGTATCCTATCTTGCAGTGGAGAACATGGAGCACTGTGAGTTTCCCCTCCTGAGAGACCTGCTCATCCGGTGAGGGTGCAGGGAGCCCAGGGCAGTGGTGGGCAGGAGGTGGCAGTGGCCAGCTCAGGCTGACCTGCCGTCCCTCTCCCAGTTCCCACCTCCAAGACCTGAAGGACATCACCCACAATGTCTACTACGAGAACTACCGTGTCTGCAGACTCAACGAAAGCCACATGCTGCCCCAGGGGCCCGGCTGGGTGAACCTGGACCCGACCCCTGCCAGTCCCCCGGCCATCCCTGGGCCCTCAAAGGGGTGCCGATGGGCCCAGGACAATCCCTCCGAGGAGTACTGAACACAGCACACCCAAGTGCTCAGCAGCCCCCACACACACCTGTGTATTAGGACATGTATTAAAGGTGGACATTGCTTTTTATGACAAGCTGTGCGTTGAAAACAAAAGGAGTTTTGTAAATGACTTCTTTGAGCTACCCTCAAAAAAAAGATGGGTTCTTTTTTAAGTAACAGCATGACACCCAGGCCCCGGGGCGTCATGAAGCCCTGGTGGGGTGTGCCTTGACGATGGGCTCCCTTCTGCCCCAGAACTAGAGTCGAGTTCCAAATCAGACTCTGCCCTCCATCCTGACCCTCCCTCCAGCCCAGGGCCGGGCCCAGGGTGTCATAACACTCCCATCTTTGACCATCTTCCCCCAACACTGTGCCCCTGCCCCTGCCTTCCTACCCTGCGACCAGCACAGCGAGACACAGCTCCAACTCTGGAGTCTGGCAAAGCTGATGGGCATCCCGGTGCCACGTGATCTTCAGCAAGTCACTTGCTCTTCCTGGGCCTCCGTTTAATCTATAAAACGGAATGGTAGCATCGCTCTCATAGTGTTGTGCGAACAAAATTGAGTAATTTGTGTAATGTGCCTGCCAAGGCCTGCAGAAGGCTCTCGGACAGAGGTGAGGGGAACAGGAGAGAGCTTGGTTAGGGTGGAGGATGTGCCTGCAGAATGTGTGAGCACTTCCCAGGACTTTCCAGAAACCTGGAAAATAAAGGGACTTCAGCCGGCTGGGCTGGGCTCAGTGGTTGAGCATTGACCTAGGAACCAGGAGGTCACAGTTCGATTCCCGGTCAGGGCCCATGCCCGGGTTTCCGGCTCGATCCCCAGTGTGGAGCATGCAGGAGGCAGCTGATCAATGATTCTCTCTCATCATTGATGTTTCTCTCTCTCTCTTCCTCTCTGAAATCAATAAAAATGTATTTAATAAAATAAAATAAAGAGAAAATAAAAGGACTCCATAGAAGCCTACCTGGTTGGGGCCTGAAGCTCGGTTTGGTTAACCAAAGGATAAGTGACTCCTATAATCCAAAACCCAAGCGCCTGGAGGGAGAGAGCATGTGGTGAGCTTCCAGTGAGTGACAATGGGTATATTGGGTCCTTCAGAAAACAGATCCAATAGGACATGTACTAGTATATGGAGATATACATTATGGGAATTGGCTTACACAGTTACGGAGGTAAGAAGTCTTAACGATCTGCCATCTGAAGCAGGAGACCCAGAAAACCAGTGGTGTCATTCTGTTGGAGTGGGAAAGCCTAAGAATCAGGCACCAATGGTGTAGGTGCCCACCGGAATCCAAACACCCGAGACCCTCGCTTTCTGATGTCCAAGGGCAGAAGATGGATGTCTCAGCTCTAGCAGAGAGAGCAAATTCCCTCTTCCTTTGCCTTTCTGTTCTATTCAAGCTCTCCATGGACTGACTGGATGATGCCCACCCGCATTGGGAGGGTGATCACCTAGACACAGTCAACTGAATCAAATGCTAATCTCTTCCAGAAACACCCTCACAGACACACTCAGAAATAATGTTTACCAGCCATCCGGGCGTCCTTTAGCCCAGGCAAGTTAACACAAAATTAACCATCACACCAGCTAAAAGTGTTTTTAAAACTGAATTTATTGGGGTGACATTGGTTAATAAAATTATATAGGCTTCAAGTGACACCAGCTAAAAGTTACCTTCTCCATGAATCCCTCCTTGACTTTCCAGGTCAACGTACCGGCTGCCCGCTCCCTGCATACATCACAGGGTTTGTTTTCTGGTCAAACTCCCCGTTAGACTGGGAGCTCGGTGAGGGCAGGGATATGTCAGCTTCATTCTGCACCTGACAGGTGCTCAAGACCCAGCTGTTACATAAATGAACCCTTCAGTACCTGCCCCCATAACCATTTACCCATCAGATTCACAATGCAGTTGACTCCAGGTTTGAGGGGACCCACACCATCCACGCCAACATCTCAGAGTTGGTGTGTTGCTACATAGGGACTGCACACAGTTCCAAAGTTAGTATTAGCCCTAGGCAACTTGGCAACATCTACATTTTTTAAAAAAATATATATTTTATTGATTTTTTACAGAGAGGAAGGGAGAGACATAGAGAGCCAGAAACATCGATGAGAGAGAAACATCGATCAGCTGCCTCCTGCACATCTCCCACTGGGAATGTGCCCGCAACCAAGGTACATGCCCTTGACCGGAATCGAACCTGGGACCCTTCAGTCCGCAGGCCGACGCTCTATCCACTGAGCCAAACCGGTTTCGGCAATGACGTCTACATTTTTAAAGCAAATGCCCTTTGGCTCAGCAAATGTAATTCTAGGAACGGATCTTATAGACAGACCAGGGTTTCTCAATCTCACTATTGACATTTGGAGATGGATCATTCTTTGCTATCAGGGCTGTTCTATGTATTGTAGGATGTTTAGACTAGAGCATTTCTGGACCTCCATGCAGGAGATGCCCGTAGCACCACCCACCCAATTGTGACGATCAAAAATGTCTCTAGACATTACCTGATGTCCCCTGAGGGATAAAATCTCCTCGGCTGAGAACCGCAGAGAGTGGTACCTAGGATAGTAAAGACGTGAAGTAGTCTACCCGTCCACCAGGAGTGGACTTGAAAGTAAGTCATAGGACATCCGTACCCTGTGTATTATTTCCCTATAGATGCTGTAACAAATTAGCACAAACAGGGAGGCTGAAATGACAGTTAATGCTGTCATAGTTCTGGAGATCAGAAATCTGAAATTAGTATCACCGGGTCCAGATCAAGGTGTCAGCAGGGTGGTGCTGCCTCTGGAGGCTGTAGGGGAGAATCCATTGACCAGTGTTTGCCTTTACAAGCTTCCAGAAGCAGCCTGCATTCCTTGGCTCATGGCCCCTTCCTCCACCTTGCTTCAGTTGTCACATTGCCTTCTGCAGCCAGATGTCCCTCTGCCTTCCTCTTATAAGGACCATTGTGATTACATTGGACATGCTGGGATTATCCAAGATAATCGAAATCCTCAATCACATCTGCAAAGTCTCTTGTCATATAAGATAACATATTTATAGGTTCTGAAGCAGGAATTGGATGCTGTGGGGGGCTATTCTTCAGCCCACCACACCATGGGATATAACATGGTCCTTAAAAAGAATGAAGTAAGGCAAACACGACATGACCTCACTTATATGCGGAATCAAAGAGTTGAGCTCATAGAAACAAGGTAGGGTGGTGGTTGCCAGGGGCTGGGGGGGGGGGAGGGGGGTGGAAATGGGGAGACATAGGTCAAAGGGTACAAACTTTCAGTTTTTAGATTAATAAGTTCTGGAGCTCTAATATACAGCACGGTGATTATAGTTAACAATACTGTATTATATAACTGAAAGTTGCTAAGAGAGTAGGTCTTAAATATTCTCACCACACATACACAAAGATAACTATGTGTTAACTAACTTTATTGTGGTAATCATTTCACAATATATTCATATATCATCTTAAGCTTACACAATCTTACTTGTCAATTACATTTCAACAAACCTGGAGGAGAAAAATATTGAGGCAGCTCTACAATCATCCATGCGTTCTTTCTACGAACAGATCTCCAGGCCTACTATACGCTGCTACAGAGGCTGGGTTAAGCGAGGAACAAAACCAAGTCACTGCACTCCGAAGCGTGCACTTGAGTGGGGCAAGATGACAATAAACAAGACAAGTAAAATGCTGAGCACGTTGTACTGTGATGGGCACTCTGGCACCAAGTAAGGCATTTCCTGTCTAGGATTGAAGGGGTTTGTAATTGTAAGAAGAGCGTCAGGGAGGGCCAAACTGAGAAGGGAGCTTAGAGTAAAGATGTGAAGGAGTAAAGGAATAAACCTTGGGAATATGTGGGGGCAGAGCATTCCAGACAGAAGGAAAAGAGGGCACTGCAAGTGCAAGGGCCCTGGGGCAGGAGTGTACTAGATGTGTTCAAGGAAGAGCAAAAAGGCCTGTGTGCCTGGAGCAACATGAACCCGGGGAGGGAGTGGGGAGACACGAGGACAGAGAGGTAGGTGAAGGGCAGGCCCACAGGCTGTCAAATTAGAGTTCCTTCTATCATAACTCTATTTGTAGAGATATTGGGTACAAACTTTCAGTTATAAGATGAATAACTGATGGACCACCTATGGATATTGATGAAAGGAAAACAAGGAACAACTGAGTGCATAGCAGATGGCACATGGAGCCTAAATATCTCTGGAAAAACACTCAAGACACTGGGGCAAATAGTTGCTTCTGGGTGGAATAGGAATCAAGAGTGGGAAGTAGACTTAATTTTCACTCTACAGTATCTCCTTTTGCACTGTGTGAATGGCTTGTTAACCAGGCACATATATTATCTATTCAGAAAACTTTAGTGCATGTAAAATATTAGCCCTGTGCCCGATCGGCATGGCTCAGTGATTGAGGGTCAACCTATGAACCAGGAGGTCACAGTTTGATTCCAGTGAGGGCACATGCTTGGGTTGCAGGCTCAATCCCCAGTGTGGGGTGTGCATGAGGCAGCTGATCAATGATTCTCATTATTGATGTTTCTATCTCTCTCCCTTTCCCTTCCTCTTTGAAATCAACAAAAATAAATTTTAAAATAAATAAATAAAATACTAGCCCGTGGCCCCACTCTGGAAGTTAGGATCTCCTCTAATCAGAGTGACCGTAGGGTCTGATAGCCCAACTCCTCCACCCCACTTACTGGTCACCATGTGGTAGCCCTCCCCCAAATGGCATGTATTCCAGGCTCCAATATCCTCTCATTGCATTCTCACCTTGCTGCACTTGTGTTCACTGGGCTAATCTTTGGGGAGAGGGATGTATTCTGGGGAGTGTTGGTCCTGCTCTCTACTGATGACTTTACCTCCAGTTCTGGCAGCCCTTGCCACACCCGTGGCAACCCTGCAGCTCATGCTTGGCATAGATGCACAGTTGTGTACTGAATAGGGCCGGGCACAGATTTCTTCTTCAATTCCTGCTCTACATGAGGACAAAGGCCTGGTCTGATACATTTTGGGATTCCCCAAGCCCAAGCCCAGCAAGTGTGGGTTCCAAGTCCAGCTCTGCCCCCCGCCCTGCCTTTTTTTTAAATCCTCACCTGAGGAC